GACTGTCCCCAAGTGGTGAAAGGGAGGCTCTGCCTCTGAAAGACCCCAGAGGTAATGACTCGTGACCAGGAGCCCTTAATTTTACCCCATCAGCCCAACATTAGCAAACCCTGCCAGCCACTCTGGGTGACAGACCTGTCACACCAGGAAAAGAAAGAAAGGTCAAATTGATTGGGGTGTTTGGCCTCCAAAATAAAACCAGGTTGCAGCTGACTTCTCACTGAGCGCAAGTGCCCACAAGTGCCATGTCAGTGGGGGAATCCATGGAAGCTTCCATACTTTGGGCCTTTCCAGCACCTTTTCTGCAGCAACCGTAGGGTTTCAGAGTGAGGCTGGCTGTAGGCCAGCCTTCTGCTTCCTGCGGACAACCTTCACTGACTGTTGCAGCCTTCTCAGGTCTCTGCGGTCTCGGAACACAAGCTGCACTCAGCATTGTGGGGGCCGTGTGTGCCTGGAAATGTCACCCAGTGGGACTGTAAACATCCTAGCTGCACCATCCTCACCCATGCCTGCCGGAGCGAGCCAGTGGCCGCTGTCCCATGGATGAGGTCTGAGGATGAGATCCTAGGCAGGGCTGGTGTCCCTGTCCGCCCAGACTGTGCAGTCTGTCTGTGCAGAAAGCATGCTCCTTCTATACAGAGAGGACCAGAAACAAAGGCTGTGTTGGCAGGGGGACCTGGACATGCTGTCAGTCAACTGACCTTGACCGCTGCCTCTCCAGACGGCACAGGGGTTGTGAGGTGATGACACATTGACAGTGTTTACTTGGCACATGCAGAGTTTGGTGCTGAATCCTGGTTTCACCGCTACTGCCCTGGACAAGTGATTCCTTGTCCCTGCACCTGATCGTACCCAGCCAGTCTGCAAGCGTGAGGTCTGGTGAGGACTCAGCAAGGCTGCGAAGGCCAGCGTCTCATGAACCAGTCCACATGGAAAAGAATCAGAAGCTCTGATTTTCCACAAACTTAAAACTTGTCTCCTAGAAAAATTTTGTTCATGAAATAAACGAGGCACAGCCAAGGAGAAAATATTCACACTATACATTTCTTTTTAAATTAATTTTTATTAGTACATGTTTTTAATGCCTAATGAATGCATTCACTCTGGGGAATTGGTATGTGTGCATATTGCATCTTAATTCTTTTTTATTTTCCCTTTTTATCCCCCCTTCTACTCTCCCTCCATTCCTGGGTCTCTTTCTCGTGCAGAAAAGTTCTGTTCCCTACCCATTACGTACAAAGAACTCTTACAACAGGACAATGAGAAGACAAGTATATATGTGTATATATTCACAAGTATGTATATGGCAAAATGAAAATGCTAATGTGATAGCATAAACTCACTTGGTCCATTTTTCCCAGTTATAACTGAAAACTCTAGACAAGATTCACAAGCAGAATACCTGAGAACTCTGTAGAAGACAGATGTGGAGAATCTAACATAGATGTGGATAAGCGATTATGCTGAAAGTGGGTCCCCATATTCTCTCTCTGTCTCTATCTGTCTGTCTGTCTGTCTGTCTCTCTCTCTCTCTCTCTCTCTCTCTCTCTCTCACACACACACACACACACACACACACACACACTTCCCCCAGATGCTCCAATTATATATAGCAAGGCAGCAGTGGCAAGAGGATGCTCTGAAGGAAACCCTGTCTTCTTATCTTTCTGGGTTTAGGGCAGGAAAACCCTGATGGACACAGAATGTAGGAGAAACCCAGAGAGGTCGGTAGCCAGAAAAGCAGTCTCCTACTTCTATAAATAAATGTACATAAGACTCAGCCTAACTCTTGAGCTGTGCACGAGTGGGGCAAACACAAATCAGCACAACGAAGCATTAAAGGCTAAGCTGAAATTTAAACTATGTGCGTATGTTTTTAAAACATGATTGCTAAATAATTTATGCTTAAGACAAATCTAAATCAGTACACCAAGGCTTTGAGACCTGAACTGAGATTTGAATTACTATATCTGGAAGGCAATATAGAAATTTTCAGCTTGAATTTAACTGAACTGATTACCTACTAAAACAAAAACATAAACATATTCCAGAAGATTATGTACAGAACCCAAAGTTTAGAAACAAAATGACATTCTCAATCTTTGGATAATCCAAAATTGCCCAACATACAAAGAACTAGAAAAATGTGGCCAATATTCAAAGGAGAAAAACCAGTTGCTACTTCCTCAGTGACTCAAGTGTTGGAATTATCAAAGAATTCACAAAAGTTGTAAGAATGCTCCATCAGGTTGAGAAAAGCACATTTAGAGTGCAGAAGAAGATAGTTCTCAATAGAGAAATAGGAACTATAAAAATAACCAAATGGAAGTATTAGGCTGAAAAATTCTAATTCATAATGTAAAAATTGGATGATTTCAGTAGCAAAATACTGAAGGTAGGAGGAAATATCTGCTCATTTAAATGTAGATTAATAGAAATTGTATTATCTCAAGAACAGAAAAAAAGGACCAAGAAAAAAATTAAGCACAGTCTCAGGGACCTGTAAGAAAACACATAAAAATATAACATGCATGTCACTGAGGTCCTAGAATGAAAAGAGAAATAAAGTGGGAAAAATACATGATAAATAAAGGTTTAAACCTTCTCAAATTTAGCAAAAGACATAAATTCATGTAGTCAAGAGGCCCTTAAATACCTCAGCAGGATAATGTGAAAGAAAGCCATGTTAGTCTCATTCTAAACTATTGAAAAACAAAGATAAAAGAAGAAAAATCTTGGAAACACCTAGGGAAAAATCAAGGTTCTCGTATATCCTTGCTACTTAACGAAAGAGGAATAAAATAGATTCATGCAATAGCGCGGATTAATCTCAATAGCATCATGCTGAGTAAGAGAAGCCAAATAAAAAATATGCATTTTGACTTCACTTATATAAAACTGTAGAAAAGGTAAAATACTAGGGACAGGATGCAGACCCAGTGGTCCAGGGATGGGAATGCAAGGGAGGGGGATTATCAAAGTGCATGGTGAAATTTTAAGAGCTGCTAGAAATGTTTATCTGGAATATAGTAACAGCTTTGTGCATTTATCAGTATGAGAAAGCTGATCAAATTTAAGTTTTGAACATTTATAGTTTATTGTATTTTAATTATAACAAGTTATTAAAATGGGCAAGAGATTTGAGCACTTAACAAATTGGCACCATTGGCAAGGAAAGGTACTCACATCTTTACTCACCAGGAGTATACCATGAAAATCACAATGTATAGCACTGTGCAGCTGCTAGGACAGCAAACATTACAAAGTGCTGGTGACAATGTAAAGAAATCAGACCCTTTGTGCATTGCTATCAGGAATGTAAAAATGGGACATCAGTTAGGAAATCAAGCAGTTTGTTAGTTATAAATGCACTTACTATGTGATCAAGCTATTAAAATCCTAGCTATTTACTAGAAGCAATGAAAGCTACACTCACAAAGTCTTGTGCATACTATTCGTTGCAGCATTATTGCTCGTGGAAACACCTGAAATGTGTCTACACAGTGGAGCGAGCAAACAAATAGTGTTATGGCACACTACTCATCAGTAAAAAAGAGCAAACGGCATGCCACAGCTAGGACAAATCTGAAAGCATAGTGCCGAACTTAAGAAGTGAGTGTGCAGAGAGTATTGTGTTATTCCACTTATTCTAGAACATGAAAAATGGATCTACAGTATCAAAGAACAAATCAGTGGTTGCCTGGGACTGGGAAGAAATACCTCTGTAAGTAATGTCATTAATTACATAGGTGTATGGATTTATGAGCAGTATACTTTCTGGCATATGTAAATTAGCACTAAAAAGTTGATTTATAATATAGGAGGTAACTATGCAATCTGAACTAAACACATATAAAGTTAAAGAGTTCAAAGAAACATGGTATTGGAACCAAGAGAGACAGAGAGATGGATAGCAAATAAATTCTAGAAATTGACTTGAGTTTAGAATAGCCTAAGAATTTAGAATGTGGTTGTTGTGGTATTCCAAATCAAGTTGGGAGAAAATAAATTATTCATAAATGATGTTGGATCAACTGATCATTTAAAATGAAAAAACAAACAAACAACCAAAAATAATCAATCTACTACACTTACAAAAGTAAATCCCACAGGGCTTTAAAAGTCTATAAGGAGAAAAGTCACCTTAAATGGCCTTGCAGGAGAAGAGTTTCAGAATCCATGAGCACTGGGTAGGAGACAGTGAGGGAGTCCCACTTTGTCCCACTTTGCCCAGAAATCAGCTGGGGGCGGGCTGAGGTCCTCTGTGGTACACGGAGCTCTCCTGCTTCAGCCCTAAGGCTAGAGAGGAATCTGGAGCCCTTCTTCCCATCCCAGTGCTGTGGCTCAACCCTCGTTTGTGAAATGGCACAAGAGTGGCACACTCCTGACTTACAAATGTCTAGTGAGGACCACGTGATGCTACGTGGCCAAGGAGGTGTCACATGGCTGTTCCCTCCTCCCTCTGAGGAGAAGCACCAGGCCTGGGCCGAGAGCAGGGTCATAGCTCTGTGTGAGAAAGCAAGTGTTCTGCATGGAATCAGTCCTCCCTCGAGTGTGTCACTTAGCAAGTAACACGGCAAGAACCAGGGAAGCAGCTGAACTTGAGTGACAAGCCCAGACAGCCTCATTCAGGTGCAGGCGTGAGGACCTTAAGAGGCTTAGCCATGGACAACTCACTCCCTGGCCTTAGTGGAACCGGCCCTTGGCTCTCCCCTTCACCTGCTACTGGAAATGCTGGGTCACTCAGAGGTGTCCTGGAAGAAGTCTACACAGCCCACTGATCTCAGGTGCAAAGACCTGATCTGATTCCAAAAGATGCTCAAATTCTCTTTGTTTCTCCACTTTACTGGAGAGATCTGGATTAATACGAATTAAGAGGCAGGTGATGATCACAGGTGCTGGGCACTTGGGTAGGAATCTCCATGGTAACAGAATCCTCTGGCTCTCTTGTTTGGCATCAGGCTTCTAGTGGAATCTTCTCCTAACAGGCAGAGGGGTTTGGCAGATGAAGAGGGGACCAGGAGGAGGATGAGGCCAGCGAGGGAGGCCTTGTCCTTCAGGCCTGAGTTTGAATCACGTCAGGACTCGGGGCTGCTGCTGACTTCACCTGGGAGCACCTGAGGCGGTGCGCACTGAAACTGTGAGCAGCATCATACCCCGCACGGGACGCCCCCATCTTATGGCTCACCCTGCTGAGATAGCTCTGTGCTTTCTCTGCATTTGCCACATTTTGAATAAACTTTTGCTTTGCGCCATATATCTGCCTTGACACCCCAGTTTTCCACTGAGAGTCTTACTTCATTCTTCATCTGAGTGAGGGCAGAGACCGGGAGACAGAGGGTCATTACGGGGTTCCCCAGCACCTCCCCCAGACACACCCTGCTGGACGTAACAGTTCCTTCTTGAGACTCCTAGGGAGCATCTGTTCCGTGTCTCCTTCCTGGCTTTTGGTGATGGCTGACAATCTTTGACATTCTTTGGCTAATGCCTGTATCAATGCAGTCTGTGCCTAAATTGTCACGTGGCCTTCTCCCTGTCTCTGTGTCCAAATTTCCCTCATCTTCTAAGGACACTACTCAGGATTTATGGCCTCCCTTAGCCCATGATGACCTTATCTTACCTTGATTACATCTGCCATGATATTGTTTCCAAATCAGTAAGGTCACACTCACAGGTCCCCTGTGAAACACAACCAAGTATGAGTTTCAGGAGGACACAGGCTTTGCAGTGGTGCCCTCTTGGGCTCAGAGCCTGGTGCTGCCATTCAGCCACCCTCTGCTTCCTCTGCTCAGCAAAGTTGGGAGGAAGTCCACCCTCCCAAGGGACTCCTAAAGCTTGCCTTGTAGAGAAAGGACTGCAGAGCTCCATGGAGCATTTGGGATGGCAGAGATTCAGCAAAGATGGCCCTGAACAGGTACCTAGAGCTCTGGGTGGCTCTGATGCCTGTTCTGTAGAGCTCAGTCCATGAGCCAGACTGACTCCATGAGCCAGGGTTTTGCATTACAGGGGGCCTCTGTGTTAAGGCTACGTGCAGAGAGATGGGGTGAGCACTGACTATAAAGTCATGTGACCAGGAAAGGGGATTCAGGATCCTGAGGCCCCAGCAGAGTCAGGAAGGATAAGGAACAGACTGCAATGGACCAGACCGTTGTATGGAGCCTAGAGTCCACAAGCTAGTACAGTTTGAGGCTCGCTCAGCATCAGTGGGTTCCCACATGGACTCTGGAATGGCTCCGTGAAGCAATGTGGAACACAGGCTGGTTTTCTACTACCAGAACTCTAGGCCTCTATGAGACTTCTGGGCCTCAGAAGAGGTTCCTCACACTGCTTCCCTGCATCTCCCACCACAAACACTGAGTCTGGCAAAACTTAGCTCTTGGCTGAGGCACCCGTGGTATTCTCTTTCTATCTCTTTCCTTCCCTCCCACCCTTCTTGTCTGTCTTCCAGTACTGTGTGATTACCATAACCCAGGATCCTTTTAGGCCCTGGGGATATATAGATCGATCTAAACTGATGGAGGGAGGAGTTTATAACTAATGGGATAAGCATTAACCAAGCAACATGCAGACAGATGGTTTACAGTGGAGCAGTGGGCATGCTGAATGATAGGCAGCAAGGTGGTGAAAGTCAATATTAAGATGATATCCTGAGTGAATCAGTGCTCAGCGCTCCTCCATTAGATCCTGGAAGGCAGAGCCTCTGGAAGGCAGTGAGTCTGCGCTCTGCACCCTTCCATTACATCCTGGGGGAGTGGCTGGACTAGAAGACAGTCAGGCCATGCTCAGCACACCTCCATTCTATCCTAGAGGGCAGGGCTGGCTGGAAGACACTGACTTTGCCATCTGGGCCTCCTGTGTTGCATCCTGGAGAGTGGGCCAGCTGAGAGAGCGAAGACCTACAGGAACCCCAAGACCCAGCACAACAGCCCAGCACCTAGACACACACTCACTGCTGGAGGGCAAAGTCATCAGTGAGGCCAGTAACGTGGATCATCTGAAGCAGCAGCAAGGACACAGACAGCAGTTGCACCGTGGAGAGCCCCACTGAGGGAAGACCAGTATCAGCCTGTACATCCAGAAGCCAAGATCAGCTCCGTACCCAGCACATCTCTGGGATGTAACATGGACAGTGTCACAGAACTGCAAACACTGGAGAAGTTAAGGCTCTTGGGATGGCTACAAAGAGCCAGCTACATCTGGAGGACATCTCCTTTCCTCCTTGAGAGAGGCCTTGGAGTTCATGGTAGAGTTACATGTTGTAGGAGGTTGGTGGGCATCAACATAGAAGACGAAATAAAGAGGATAAAATGGAGAATGGCAGAAGTGCAGAGGCAGGGTACAGCTCCAGGTCCCCAGCCCACCCATAAAGGGCCTGCAACTCAACAAGATGGATGAAGTTGGAAGTCAAATACTGAAAGTTTCTGAAGTGATAACAACAGAAGTGAAAAAAGTGGAAAAGGCTATAGAAGGAAAATGATCTCTCAGATACAAAAAGAAATGATGCCAAGATATTAGAGAAGACACAAAAGAATAGATGAGTTTAGAAAGAGGTGGAAAGAAAAAATGTCCAACGAAGGACAGAAATGGAATCTGTGAAACAGATACAAAAAGAGATTCAGGAGATTAAAATGGCCAGTGAAAGTATATGTAACAGACTGCATGATGGAAAGGATAGAATTTCAGATCTTGAAGACAGAATTGCAGCTAGTGATCATGAAAAGAAAGGTATATTAAAAATGACAAGGGGCCACGAGAAATCAATTGAACAGCTACAAAATGAAGCAAAGAAGAACAACCCAAGATTGATTAGGGTCAATGAGAAAGCTGGAGACAGGACAAATGCCATAACCATTATAAATATATATGTGCCTAATAGGGGAGCATCCAACCAGATAAGACAGTAATTGGCAGACATGGAAAGTCAAATAATTAATAACACAATTGTAACAGGAGGCTTCAATATCCCATATCACAGAGAAACAGATCAAGAAAATCAACAAAGAAGTAGCAGAGCCAACCCAAACCTGAGAACAAATGGCCCTACTCCAGCAGCCAGAAAAGATTCCACGAGCCCAGCACTGGCCCCAGAGAAGAAGCCACATCCTGAGCAACCCCCTCCATCATCAGGGGAGCATCTGTGAACCACCACCCTATGCCTCTCCACCATTCTGGGAATCATGGGTTAGAAGAGCTTAGGTTCCTGGACCAATCCCCTTCTCCAGGGGCTGGCAGCAAATGCAGGAAGCACCAGAGATGCAGCAATGGACTGATCTGGAAAAACAGGAAAAGGTCAACACAAAGGAGTTAAATACAATCTCAGACCTCCAGCCCCCACAGAACAAGTTCAGAAGACACGGACATAGAAGAAATTTGAAGTCACACACCTAAACTTCTGAAAAGATAACAGAAGTAAAGAAGCAACTTTGTTCTTGCCCTGATTGGCTAATTTTACATGCCTATGTCTGATGGTCTGGACAGCTTTTTTGAATACAACAAGAAGCATTAAGGGAGCCATTGTTATTCCTTATTGTCTTGTTTTGAAGTACTGTATCATTTTTACAGTTCTGTTTTCTTTTGATTTTATTTCATTTTGTTTTATTTGATTTTATTATGTCTGATGGTATGGGCAGCTATTTTGAAGATAAGATATATTATGATAGCCATTGTCAATCTTCTATTATTTTGAAGTTTCTTCAAAATTTTGTATCACTTTCATTGTTTTATTTTGGTTGATTTTATTATGTCTGATGGTATGGACAGTTACTTTGAAGGTAACAAAAAGCATTATGGTAGCCATGAATGATTTCCTATTATCTTACTTTGAAGTCCTCTTTCACTTTCATTGTTTTGTTTTGATTGGCTTTATTCTGTTTTACTTTGTTTGGTTTTGTTCTCTTTGAAATAAACAAAAATTTAAAAAATGACATCACCCTTGTGTAAGCAAGTGAAATAAGGGGCATGACCTTCCTCTGAGCACCAAGGAAGGCATCACCCAGGGCAACAGAGAGGGAAAGGATCCCAGAAAGGATTGTTAGCATGCATAAAGGCCCTGTGGCAAAAGGGTGCTTGGCAAATTAGAAAGGTCAAAGAGGTCTGTGTGGCTGGGCCGGACAAAGTGAAGGAAATATAAAATGAGCTCAGAAGCTAAGATTAGATCAATTATTTCTTGAATAATTATCAGTTAAGTACCTATCATAGGCATCATGCTGAAGGGCCAGGGAGGCACCAGAGAGACTGAGACTACTTCACACTAGAGCAAGCAGACAATAGACAAGAAAAGCATCTCAGCGAGGCAGAAGTGATCTGGAGTCATCCTGAGGGGATGCTGGGTGCTGGGAATGAGCTGAGAATTGAGGAGCAGATCTGGGCCAAGACAGGGCCAAGTATGACAATGCTGGGGACTGGGAAGAGGGCTGGTGTATGAGGAGCAGGGTGAGCAGGGGAGACAGATGTAGTATGCTGTTGCAGGTGTTGATGGAACCAGTGCCTCAGGCTTTTGACTTACCTTACTGTGGCTGAAAGCTATTGCTGGGCTTTCAAAGGAGCACAGTTAGATTTGGGCTTTGCATGGCCCCTGTGACTTACTATGGGCAGGACTGGAAGGAAGTTGGGGTACAGTTACAGATGGAACAACCTCTCTTCCCAGATGACCCTGAAGAACCATGAAGGTGAATCTGAGGCTTTGTTCTCTCCCAGCCTGCTGGAGGAGGAGGATGCAGGGCCCTCGGCCAAGAAACCACAAAGCACCAGTTCAGCTAACAAGGAGCTGCTCTGCCTCTCCTGCAAGACTCCAGAAGGTTCAGTGTGCCTGCCCTTCTTCCGCACCTATGACTGGCTCTTGGCTGAAGAGAAGTTGGTCCTGCAGCCTGAGGTTTACATGAACCAAGGAAGCCCGTGGACCAGGCAGGCACCATTTCTGGAGGATTCAGTGCCAGCCAGTGGCTTCTTCCCTTACTATCGCTCCAAGGAAGACAGTCTTCCCAGCCTTGCCTTTCCTAGCCGGTGGCATGAGCACTCCCAAGACTCTCTCCCTGGTGGGAAGGCACAGGAGGACTGGTTCTGCGAGACACCAGTCAGGGACAGATGCCCTGTGAGTTGGGTCCATGAAAGGACGGAGGAGTACCAGGCCCCTGAGATGCTCCTGGCCTCTGCCCCGGGGTCCTCACCCCAATAGGATGCTTTCCAGACCCCCGAGGGCTTCTGGGCTCTCAGAACCACATGTCACTAGTTAAGATCACAGAGCCTGGAGCCAGGATGCCCCTGCTCAATTCCAGCTCCACCACTTGTTAAGAAAGTGGCCTGGAAACTGCTTTCTTCTGGTTCTGTCTAAAGGAGGAAAAAGGAGCAGCTGCTCCGAGAGCTACTGTGATGACTGTGCCCAGTAATGTTGTCCTTGTGTCCAGCTAGGTGCTCAGTCACACGCTTCACATGCATCTTCTCATGAATGCTAATTACAGTCCTGCAACTTAGGTCATATTGTTCCCATTTGATGGCTAAGGAAACACAGCTAGCAGCTGCAAGCCTGGGATTTGGCCACACACCCATTCCCTGTTACCTTACAGCTGCGGGCACTGTGTCCTGTGACTATAGAGGGAGATGAGTTTGAGGCCCAGTCCCAGTCCTCCCCATGGTCCCTCTGGACATAGGTTGGTGGCTTTGTGAAGTGCTCCTCTTCCTGCAGAACCGGCATGGGCCTTGCTTTCTTCCCCGACCGTCCAGCCACCAGTATCTGGCTGACCCCCTTGTTTCCCTCCGACCCAGGATTCTGCTGCAAGCTCTGATTTCATCTCCTGGTCCTCACACTTACTGGCCCCCGGCCCCATGCTGCTGCTCTCTGCAGGGAGCTCCTGTGACTCTCTCTCTGGGACCCAAGGCTTTTGTGCCACAGGATTCGTGCCTTACTACAGAAGCCCCGAGGAGAAGCTGCACACTGCCCCAGGGCCTCCTGCTTCACTGTCCAGGAGAGACTAGGAGCTGCTGGGGAATGAGGCCTGGCACCCAGTTCTCTGCAAAGGCTGAAGGTGGCTTGAGGTGAGTTTCTCACAGCTGTCAGTTTTCTAGAGATCAGAGCTGGGCTGGGATTCAGCTCTCAGGCCTTTGCTTCCCACCTGCACCCTGGCCTCAGGGCCCTCAAACTGTGACCAAGTAACATGCTCTCCCTGCAGTAGGAGGTCAGCAGGAGGAACTGACACAGCCCATGAGGTTCACCCCATTCTCTCAGGGCTTGGAGCTGCACACGCTGGTGTGACAACTCCTGTACCTGTGTGCACATGAGGAGGCTTGCGGTTGGCCTGTATCCTGGAGGAGCAAGAGGGAGCAGCTTGGCCATCTCACCCCACCCCACAGCAACCTGCCCACTCCCAGGCTTCCCCTGCTTTGTTCTCCTAGCTGGAAAAACTGCCCAACAAGGAGTGACCCGCTGCAGCTGAAGCGGTTCTGCCGAGGAATGACTGTCTGGCCCAGCACTCCAGCCTGAGTTTCCTACCATAGCCTGCCCTAAGTTGAGACCCAGGAGAGCAGGGGCTGCCTGAGCAATGGAGGAGCAGGGTGCCCAGAGGTCAGTTTTGCAAATAAACCATAGAACTATAAGGCTTGGATCAGTGCATTCCTTTGTTGCTTGGAGAAATACCTGCAGCTTCTATTTCTGAGCATTTACTATGTACTGTCTTACAGAGAGCATCTCTGTGATCCTTAGACATCCATTTTATAGGTGAATAAACAGGCTCCGGAAGGCAAGGCAGCATGCCCAAGCCCATGTGGAAGACCAGGCATAGAGTATCTACCGGTCTCCCCACACCACACGCACCCGGAGCCCTGCAGCTGATGTCTCCTGGATGCACAACAGAAGAGACCCACCCACGACACTCCCTTTCCTTTCCTTATGGAGCCGTAGCTTTCAAGAGCCCTAAGACTATGTTTGCATTTGGCAAATGTTAATCCTGGCTCATGGTGGTAGAGAAACTGGGTGTATTTATGCAGACAGTGAAAGTGAGGGCAAAGGCCTGTGGGAGTTTCTACCACCTCTTGAGGTAGCTCATAGGCCCTAGAGTCGCCAAACAACAGGTGTGAATCAGCCATCAGAGAAAGTGCTTAATCTTCCTGAGTCTTATTCTTCGCAGATGAGGAATGGGGAATTGCTGTGCCTGAGACTCAAAGAGATGTTACTAGAGCACCGTGGGCTGGAGCATGAGGTGGAAGCGTTGGTACTCTGAGGCTTTGGTAAACCAAGGCAGGTAAACAGGAGAAATCTACCTCTACAGCTGCACTCCGCTCCCAGTACGCGGGCTTCTTGAGTCTCCTCTCCAGAGAGACTCCTGTATTAGAATCTCTATTGCCTAAGCATAGCCCAGGCTGGCTCCCTGCCAGGCAGCACCAGGGAAAACCTCCGGGAAACCTTCCAGAGCTGTCAGCCAGGAGGGCTTTTCCACCCGGGAGCCCCAAGTGCTGTGTGGCAGCGCCCTCTGCTGGCAAGCCTTGACAAGACGCTCACAGTTGGGGGTGCGGCCCAGAATCTCATCATTTGAACGTCACCGAACAGGACACCAGTCCCTCTTCCAAAAGTCAGAGGCGAGTAGGCAGCAGCTTCCCTGCCGGCCCCTCTGTCCTCACTGTGCAGCCGCTTACTTCAAGCATCACTCTCAATCAGTGATGGCCTGAACACTGTCCCAGCATGCTCTGCACGGAGCCCCTCGCAGAACTGCCAAGGAGAAGCTCCCCAGTGCTTGGAAGTCGTGGCATGTCCTTTCCCTTTCCTTCCACCTGGGGAGCAGCCTCGGAGCTGCTCCTGTCTGCAGCCAGTGTAGCAACGATGAAGCAGGCCGAGCTTCCCAGGGACAGCTCACGCATAATGGCTCCAGACAGTGATGCAGTCAGGTGGAGAGGTGGGCGTGGGATGGCCTGTAAAGAGGCGTGAATGTTAGGGTCACTGAGGAGAGGAGGACAAGGGAGAGAGGAAGGAAAGATGCGACCTGGGTTGGTTGCATGCTCATAGTATGTACTTGGCACGCAAGGAAATTCTGCTGCTGTTAATAGGCATTGGGCATTAAATTGGACATTGAAAGAGCCAATGGGAAATGGGAATTATCAAACCTATTATCAAAGGATGCCAGCTCTCCCGTCTGTAGGAACCCTCTGCAGGGAACAATGTCCTCAGAGTCCTGCAGGGAAGACCTGAGACAGCAAGGCCATAGGAGGTACCATTTCTGTCTGACCCTAGCAAGATGAATCTCTTTGTGCCTTGCTTTTTGTTTTAACCTATGTCATGGTCAATGGCTGCCTGCTGTCCAGCGGGTAGCATGCAGGTGTGAACAGATGTGAACAGCAGCACTGTCCACGCTGCTCCAAAGTGCAGAAGGCAGGTACAAGGCGTGACCCAGATCCCTCCCAGGAGCCAGCATTCTGCTGTGTCCCACAGCCCAGGGCTCTGGGACTCTCTGAGTCCAGTCCATAGCTGCTGCTAAACTGGCCCTGGCCCTCCTTTGGGTGATGAGTGTCCCGAGCAGATCTGTGGTGCACCTTCTGGAACAGAGCACAGTGGTTCATTCTGAAAATGATCCCACTCCTTTCACTGTGCGCCAGCTCATTAGCAGTTTAATCAGCAAGCTTCTGGGCTGAGAAAGCCATCCAGCGCTGCCAGGAGCTCTGCTTGCCAACACAGGGCCTTCACTTCCCTCGTGGGTGCTGGCACAGGCCTGAGGGGTTAGCAACCTGCCTGACAGCTCTTAGGTGGTCCTGCAAAAGTGGCCTTGGGAACTGACCAGCTTTTTACATGACCAAAGGACCACTCTTCAGAGACCTTAGGCAGCACATAGCTTGAGCATTCATGCTGATGGCATCTCTGCCTCAAGACTAAAGGGTCACTGTGTGCTGCAAAAGCAGAGCTCAAGGATAGGGTGTGACTTCCCACCTCTTCAGAGGATTTTGTAAGACTCCCCAGCAGGCTCTGTGCTCCACCCTAGGCTCTTCCCCTCAAAGGGCTGCTTCTGATTCTCACGCCTGGACACAGGTTGTCTGTGCACCCAGGTAGGAAGTCAGCAGGGGCTGCATGAGTCCCCTCCTATCTCTAAGCCCTTACTTCTCAGTGGGCCCCTTTAGGATCAAGTGTCAGTGAGCAGACTCCATCTTGCTTTGGAAGAAGTAGCCCTGGCCAGCTGCTGCATGTTGACTTGGAAGAGGTGACATGGGTGTCTGGCTCTTCTCCAGACAATACTCCTCATCTCTCTTGTCAGCCTTGGGGTGTCTTGACTGGGACCCATGGCTGAGCCCACCTGGAAATGAGCAGGATGCTCAAGGACATGGAATCACTTAGTTTAAAGGGGGAGGAGGTCAGAATATTCCCATGGGAACAAAATTTCCCAAATGTGACCGATACAAGACCCCCTATGAGCATGGCCATCACTGGAGGATTTGGCCAAGTGTGTAGTCTGCCTGCAGAGAAAGTCTGGAGGAGAAAGGACATCCCATTCCCTTCTAAGGCACTGTGGGCACAAGGCACTGAGTGGGACATAGCTATGGTAGGCAAAAAGATATCAGTGCCTGGGCTTGGGAAGGGGGAGAGGGAGCCACAGGTGGAACCACACTGTTGGTACAGGCACACATGGTCACCCCACAAACGCTATCTCAGGATGAGGGGTAGCTAGAGGGGAAGTATTAGGGGTGGTATCAGAAAAGACAAAGGCCATCCAAGTTGTTCCCGGTTTACTCAGCTACGTTGTGGCTGTGGGATGATACTCTATGCCTTGATTGGATCTCTTTTAACATCTTGAGCCTCGGAGGCACGTGTGCTGCTGAATGGAGCTGGTGGCAGGCAGCTACGAGCAGGTCCTTTTTGGGTTCACTGTACACCCGGATCGTAAGGCGAACGGCGACCCCGAGCTCCATTGGAGTAGGAGCTTCTTGTTCCCTGCTGTGCATCAGCTGCCTAAAGTGGTGCCAACCATGTGGTTGAAGTCATCATGTGTCCCAGACTGGCCTTAGACTTGAAGCAACCCTCCTACCTCAGCTTCCTGAGCACTGGGATTAAAAGTGTGTGCCGGGAGACGGGGAGAACATGGCGGACAGACAACAGCAACTACTGAACGCTCTCTAAAGGCTCGGCTCAGAGGCCAGGAATGATGCGGACTAAGGAGATACGAACCAGTAGAGATATGCTCTGCTGACTCAGGAACGAACTGGGCTGAGAGAATCCAACTTGGAATACAGTCCTGGCGCTAAAATAGGAACAGAAAAATCTCGGTGTGGAGGCTCGACTCCGCGCCATTGGAAACCGCGGTTTGGATTTCCCGCCGCCCGGCGGCTGGCTACCTCCACAGCGGCTCGGCAAGGAGAGACACGCAGAGGCTTGGGAACGGGAGTCTGTGAACGGAGTCGGAAACGCGACGGACAGGGAGGAAGGCTGACTGGTGGCGAGGTGAGCGAGGAACTGACTCCCTACCGCAGTTTGACTCCAGCGGAGGTTTTTCTGGGCGTGGGCAGTCCTGTAAGAGCAGGGCGCGGTGGCAACTGCAGCCGCACATTCCCCTCTAGGACGGGATTGGTGAAAGGTGCCTGGCCGGAGGGACGCTGCTGGCGGACTCCCTAGGCTGGCCTAACCCAGATCCCAGAGCCTGACGGTGGCCCGGAGGAGCGACCGACTCCCGTGTAGGCTGCCTCCTCTGCAACTCCCTGGGGCGCAGCGGTGAGCGGGAACAACTAGCCAGCGCAATTTGATCAAGCTGTGGCTGACAGGCAGGGAAGCCGGGCCTCCTGTGTAAGATTACATTTTATAAGGAACAGAAAATATGGGGAAGGGAAGCAACAAAAAAGGCTCCTCGACCCCCAATCCTGAGAATCAGGCAATAGTGGACACTGCACCAATATACATTAAGCGCCATATAGAGAGCCTCATAGACCAATTCAGGAATGAAGTTATCAATGACCTGAAGCTAGAAGTATGCAGAATAGTTAGAGAAATGCTAAGCACCACCCAGGAAAAAGCAGATGGTGGAATGGAAGAACAGAAAAAGAGGGGAGAATTGCTTGATGGAGAAAACAGAGAAAGCATTGAGTATGTGAAGCAGGTGCAAAGGGACTATCAAGAAATTAAGAAGTCTACCCAAGACTGGCATAACAGCTTGAAAGAAACTAAGGACAGACTATCTGAATTGGAGGGCAGACTTGAAACATGGGAGAATGAAATGAAAAACTTCTTAAAAATAACAAAGAAACACACAGCAATAATACAAAGACAAGAAGATGATAAGAGGAGCCATAACTTAAGGATTAAGAACATAAAAGAAGAAGTAGGGACACAAACAAGTGAACTACAAAAGCTACTCACAGAAATAATCCAGGAGAATTTTCCTAATTTAGCAAAAGGTAAAGATACTCAAATGTATGAGGCATACAGGACCCCAGCTACCTACAACCCTAACAGAGAAACACCCAGGCATATAATAATAAAAATTCCAGAAATTCAATACAAGAACAGAATATTAAAAGCTGTAAGAGACAAGAAACAGATCACTTACAAGGGAAGACCCATCAGAATTACAGCAGATTTCTCTTCACAAACCATCA